TCGTGATAAATGTGTGATTGTCTAACCTTGACCGATCGAAACCATGATCAAATTGAGTGCGTAAGTGATGTTAGTGGATCGAAACCATGATAAATAGTGATATCACATGATTATCACACTCATATCACATCAAATCGTTTAGTAGATTTCCCCCGTAATCGTTGTGATAAATGTGTGATTGTCTAATCCTAACCTATCGAAACAATGAGTAATCGTTGTGATAAATGTGTAATTGTCTAACCTTAATCGATCGAAACCATGATCAAATCGAGTGCGCTGTTATGATCGTGTTATCACATAATTATCACACTCATATCACACCAAATCGGTAGTCGATTTTCTAAGTTAACCCTAGCCGAACGGAATCCTTGTGATAATTGTGTGATAATCACATGATTATCACGCCCATATTACACCAAAATCACACCAAATCGTGTTGATATAAGCGATAAAGTGATAATTGTGNCATGATTATCACGCCCATATTACACCAAAATCACACCAAATCGTGTTGATATAAGCGATAAAGTGATAATTGTGTGATAATCACATGATTATCACACCCAAATCACACCAAATCGTGTTTATATAAGCGATAATGTGATAATTATGTGATAATCACATGATTATCACACCCATATCACATGATAATCACATGAGTAACCGTTTATTAGATAATGATAATCATGATCGTGTAATCGTGTTAAAAGATTTTATGCTATCATTTTCATTATTACTCTTTTAATTTTAATATTTTTTGAATCTTTTTAAATTTCAATTTTAATTTTAAAAATCTTTTAATATTATTTTTTATCACAATATGAGGTTATTGGGTTGTTCTCGCATTCTCGTAAATCACAGGGGTTCTCGTTTGAACCCTTCCATATATATATATATATATATACTGATTAGTTTGTGGTAACTGTGAGATCCAATCTCAACTACAAAATCAACGGATAAATTAGAAAATTAATAATTATGATAGTTTGAGTTAAAATTATAATTAGAGGGCATTTTAGATATTTTTAAAAAACTTCTCTATTCTCTCTCCTCTCTCCTTTCTCCTCTCTCCTCTCTCATCTCTCCGACCTCTAATCTCCGGCCTCCGATGAACATTAATCCGGCAGATATCAAGTAATCACAAAAATACACAATGTGATACCAATTGTGATATATTGTGATACCATTGTGATACCAATTATGATACCAATTCAAACCTTAAAAACAAAGATACACAATGTGATACTCATTGTAATACACAATGTGATACCCATTGTGATATACTGTGATACCGATTTCACCGGAGGCCGGAGATTGGAAGTCGGAGAGATGAGAGAGGAGAGAGAAGTTTTTTAAAAATACTTAATATGCCTCTAATTATAATTTTAACTCAAACTATCATAATTATTAATTTCCTAATTTATCCGTTGATTTGTGATTGAGATTGGACCTCACATTTACCACAAACTATATATATATATATATATATACTTGGGATCATGTGAGACCAATGGTTTTTCGTGAGACCCGTAAGACCAATTTTCAACCATTGGATTAGATCTACAATCTGAATATCCATAATCACAAAATTGTCACGAGACTTCTCAATAATTACATTATTGCCACCGTACAACTTAGACCATAGATCATTAGCTTATAAAATTGATCAATGAACATAAATTGGTCTTACGAGTCTCACGAAAAATCTTTGGCCTTACGTGAACCCAACCCTATATATATATATATTATAAATATCTTAAAAACATAAAAACCAACCATTAACGATGAATATCGAATGTGTATCTCAAAAATTGCTAATTAGCCGTTTGTTTAAATTTTGGACAGGGCAATCGTCATTTATAATTTCTCAATCATTATTAAAAACAATACATTTTGTAAACTACAATTTTCAGCCGACACTTTAGATAGGATGACATAATGTTCATTTTTACATAGGTTTCTTTAATTACCATACTCTCTTTAATATCTTAGCGGATAAAATTTTAATTTATTAAAACATTATCATATGCAAAAATTTATACAGAAAAACGTTAATCATGTAAGAGTCGTTATTCTCACTTACCGGGTAAGGCTCTTGGTTCTTACCGTCGCTCTTACCGGATAAGATTTTAGGTCATTGTTATGTTAATCCAATAAAAGTAAGGGGCCGTTTACCAAACGTTACTCGGGTAAGCACTTACCAAAATCACATTACCTTACCGGATGAATATAGTAAGAACCAAGATTCTTACCCGGTAAGAGCGAGACAAGAACCAAGAGTCTTATCTGGCAAGTAAGGGCGACGACTCTTACAATGGTAAATTGTTGTATACGATGACATTTTGGTAGACTAAAATCTTACGGGATAAGTAAATGATAGTGTTACATTTTATCCATTAACGCTTGTCAGATAAATGTTTGATAAACGGCCTCTAAGTGACCTAATAAGCATTTTAAACAGCAAATTAGTCGACGCTTAATAGTACACATTTGGTGAACAACAATTTTTAGTGAACACTTGCACCACTTAAATATTGTAATACTCTTTTTTTTAAACAGCAATCAAACTCAGTTAAATATTGTATCTCCTTCAGTAGTTATCCTTATGAACTCTAAACCACTGGATCATTAGAAGAGATAAAAGACACGCTAATGAAAGAAAACATACTTGCCTAGAGAAATGGGTCTGCTATTGAAAATAGAACCCACTGCTCTTGGCAGTGGCGGATCTACGATTTTTGTTCAGTGGGGTCATCTTTAAGGTAGACTAAAAACCCGCAAAATCGTCCGATGTGTTTTTAACCTAATTACAACGTTTTCGAGATAATTTTAAAGTTTTTTGGTTGATTTCGAAGAATTTTTTTAGTGTTTTTGTCGATTTCGAATAAATTTTTTGGTTTTTTTGATTGATTTCAGCGGATTTTTTTTGTTAGAGTAACAGTTTCGATTGGGGTTGGGGGCCCATGGAAAAATGTAATGGGGGGAAGTGAAAGGTAAATCATGTAAAACCTAAAATTTAACGTATGAATTTTTGTTTTTGAGTTTTTGACTGGGGTCCCTTCCCCCTCCTTTAAACCACTCATCCGCCCCTGGCTCTTGGTGGTCATTGATATTCTAGCTGCAGAATTTTAAATGTTTTGTTTTATAGTTGTTATAGGAGAATTTGGCTACATTTTGAAGGATGAGAGGTGCGAGTTATGGGTTAACTTTACGGCACGCCAATTTAACTTAAAATAACCATGTGATGTTTGATATTGATGTGTATTTAGACCGAAGTTGTATGGACGAATTTGAAACTTCGTCACTTTTTGATGTTTTGTATGGACGGGTATGGAAACTTTATCACGTTTTGGTGTTTTATATGGACGAGTTTTGGAACTTTAATATGTTTAGTTTGATATTATGTCACTCTTTAGTGTTGATTGTTTAACTTGATGTTTTTGTTGTTCTAATTGTATGTTAAAGATCTATGTCATGTATCCAAGTTTTTGTTTGTGATTGGGCTTCTCTCTGGCTTGCAGCTTGCTTTAAAGCAGTCATGTTACCGATTGGTTTTGATCAAGAGAAGTAGGGATGAGATAGAATGAATGTGACTTGTAGAAAATGATGATATTGAATTTATTTTGGCAAGAAATGATGTACCAATTACTGTTTCTAATTGTTGTTATCATGTATAGCTAGCTAGCTAGTTGGGAAGGTTTAAAGTTAAAAACACAATAAGGCCCAAAGTTGGCTGAATGAGTGTTCATAGTTTCCATTTGTTGGGTGTTATGGGTCCATGCCTATTTTCCATAAGATAGAGCTTTATTAGTTTGAGTGCGTGTAATGGTCATGGTAGACTCGGATCCCATTGATTTAATCGAATGCCAAATGTCAACTATCTTTTTAATCTTATTTGTTGAGAATGTATGAGAACGGCCTAATCCAAGTTTAAGAACTTTTTAATATATTCTTTTTCTTTTGATTACCTGTTGTCCAGCACCCTTCTCTCGACTTAAATGTTTATTTCGACTTAGATGCAGCTTTGATTTGCGAAAACCCAAAATATGAAAGTTGTAAGCCCGTTTGTTGGCAAAACATCTTGAATCGCCTTAAACAAAGCTCGGATGAGTGGGATATGATCGAAACGTCACAGCCTCGTAAATCTGTCAAATATCCTTTTTTTGTTCTTTCACTTGTTGTGCACAACTTTGGTAAAACATAGTATTATTTTTATTGGTAAGCATTTATTTAAAGTATCCATTAATTTTGTTTTTTTTTTCCTTTCATTTAACTTTAATAACAAAAATAATTACATATTATTCAACATATAATTACAAATAGGGTTCTAATGATCATTTTATTGTTGATACACATTTACCAAAAACATTTGGTAAACACTTTTACCCGGATCAACACTCTTATCTAGACAGCACTTATCCGGTAAAAGTTGGTAAACCTCCCCTTAATTAAATTGTCTCAGGTTGTGACTTTGTCAAGCATAATCTGCCAAATAAAGATGGTGACTTGCACCCAAAAAAAAAACTTTTTCAATAATATAACATAGAGATCTATCAGAAAAAAGACCGTTAAAAGATAACTTCCAATTCCATCTGTCAGCGAGCAATCCCCGATAGCCTTCCTTAAGACAGTCGATTCCTGCGTGTATATATGTGGTAATCGGATGAATGTGTCCCTTTGAGGGAAGTTCTGAAAGATGACATAATATAGTCCGTTGCATGTTCAATCACTTCGATCATTATAATAAGCTTATTGTCCTTCATTAATTAATATTATATTATAAATATAATGAAAAAACAATATGGGAGATGCATGCATGATGATGATGATGATGAGGCCCTCATTTAATCTTCCCATCTGCCTCTGACAAACCCTTCATTACACATTTCCTTTTTCCCCTTCCTTCACTTCTTTAAATCTTTCACCTTCGTATATACCCCTCCACACATTTTTCTCATCTATACCCATTTCCCAATCCTTCTCCTTCTTGTTCCTCCAAGATGTCAAAGAAATTTGCAGAAGAAGCCTTTGAGTATCTCATCTGCCATGCTCACATTCTCCTGCTCATACTCCTAACCCTTTCCATCTCCACCCATGCATCTCAACAAGGTTTAGGTTCTCATCTTAACTCTCTACATTATCTCCTTCTAAATCTCTCCTTCATCCACTACATCAAGATCACTTTCTTACTGCTAATCATCATCAAGCTCACTTTCTCCTTCTTGATTAAGCCACCAACTGTCTACCTCCTTGACTTTGCTTGTTTCAAGCCTCCCCCAAGGTTTAGGGTACCCTTTGCCACCGCTTACGAACACGGACGCCTCATCTTAGCATCGGAGCCCAAAAGCATTGAATTCCAACTTAGGATCTTCGAGCGGGCAGGGTTGGGTGAAGAAACAAGCTTACCCCACCCATTACATTACCTACCACCAAGGCCAACTTTGATCGGTGCTAGAGAAGAGACCGAACTTGTCATTTTCTCGGCAATGGACTCTTTGTTTCAGCAAACAGGGATTAGCCCTCATGATATTGATATTGTAATTGTGAACTGCAGCCTCTTTCTTCCAACTCCATCTCTTTCAGCTATGGTGATTCACAAGTACAACATGAGAAGTAATGTGAAGAGCTATAACTTGTCTGGGATGGGGTGCAGCGCAGGTCTTATTGCCATTGACTTAGCAAAACACCTTCTTCAGGTTCATCCCGAATCAAATGCAGTCGTTGTAAGCACTGAAATCATCACCCCAAATTCTTATATGGGTAAGGAAAGATCGATGCTTTTGCCAAACTGTCTCTTCAGAATGGGAGGAGCTTCAATCCTCTTGACAAACAAAACGTCCCTACGTAAACATGCAAAGTACAGTCTCTTGCATGTGGTCCGAACTCATAAAGGTGGTGAAGACAAATCTTATGGCTGTGTCATGCAAGAAGAAGACAGTGAAGGTCATGTAGGAATAGCCCTCAGCATGGATCTGATGGTAATAGCGGCCAAGTCCTTGAAATCAAACATCAGCGCATTGGGATCACTGGTTCTTCCTGTTTCTGAACAAGTCTCATTTCTCTTCAACTTTTTAGCAAGAAAAATCTTTAAACTGCAGTGGAAACCCTACATTCCTGATTTCAGAAAGGCGTTCGATCATTTCTGTATCCATGCAGGAGGACGTGCAGTAATTGGTGAGATCCAGAAGAGTTTGAAGTTGTCAGATGAACATGTGGAGGCATCAAGGATGACACTGCATAGGTTTGGGAATACATCATCATCATCAGTATGGTATCAGATGGGATACATAGAAGCTAAAGGGAGGATGAAGAAAGGTGATAGGGTTTGGCAAATAGGGTTTGGGAGTGGGTTCAAGTGTAACAGTGTGGTTTGGAAGTGTAACAGAGAGATTGAAGCTCCAAAAATTGGGGCATGGGCAGATCGTATTCACAAATACCCAGTATTTGTTCCAGAAGTATTGAAGCTCTAAGCAGACGATAATGGAGAATCTGCCATTGTTTCTTTATTGGTTTGTGTTCTTTGAGGATCTAGAAATAAAAAGGTTGCATGCTTGCACCTACCTCTACATGTTCTAGCTTTATACTAAGGTCTACTTGTCTCGATAAAAAGAGAAATATGTATCATTAATTAGTTGGATGTTTAGCATTTAAGCCTATGTTTTTATTGGTTTATGAAGCTTGTGGCAACTATTTTTTTTACTTTATTTATTGCATATTTTTCAGTTAATTAGTTTATGAATAAATAATTTTGTGAGAAAAGTGCAAAATAACCCAACTTTGTTTAACATTCGATAAATAAATCCTTGTACTTATTAAAACCATGGAATAATTTATGGGTATGTTTTAAATGAAAGGAATACGTATGCTATTTTTTTCTGATGTATAATTAAATTACTAGTAAACTATAATCAACCAATAACATAAAAAAAAAATACATCATTTATAATAACCATTATTTGTTTTCTAAATTCAAATTTCGATCATATATGTTTGTCTTGTAATTGTTATTTGAATTTAAGACTTAAATAATTATTAATTTCTTTTATTTATTTTCATTTTAAATCTAAATAATAACTAATGAAAATGGTGTATAAACATTTTATTTGATTATTCATCCATTGGTACATTAATAGAAAGTTGGTTTATTTCTTTTTATAAGTATAAAGATTGTTCGTTAAAAAAAATCTAGAGGCTAAATCGTTCAGATAGTTCGTTGAGTTTTTTAGGTTTTAGTAAGTTTAGAAAAAAATTGTTTGACTTCAATAAATTCAATGATTTATTTGTCCATAAATTTAATCACTTAAAATGTAAAAAACGTTAACTTTTTCCAGACTATATGTTTTGTACACAACCGGTACTTTATGAATTCATTCATACAAATATCACTACTAAACAGGACAACATTTCTGACGGACAAATCCGTCAAAGATCTGCCGAAAATTATTTTTTTCGGCGGATTCCGGCTGCCGAAAGAAGACTCGCCTGAAACACAATTTCCAACAATTGACCATTTCCGGCGGAATCTGCTGAAAATCCACCACTAATTTTTTGTAAGTTCGGTTTCTTTGACTTAATTAACTATATATAGTAATTAAGATTAAGTTTTTCGGGGGATTATCCGACGGATTTCCATGGGATTAACCGTAGGAAATTTAAATTTATATTTCTAAAAAAATATTTTTTTAAATTTTAGTTAAATTATCTGCCACCGATAATTTAATTATTTTTCAATGAATTATGTGTTTGAATGTAAATATGTATTGGATACATGTATGTGTGAATTGGATTCGATAAAAGAATAATGATTCATTATAGGTACTAATGTGGTGTGTGTATATATATAAAAGCAAAATCATGAAAAATGAAAAAAAAAAAAAAAAAAAAAAAAACAAATGAGACCTTTTAAAAAAAAATTGCCAGAAATTCGATTGAAAACTAAAATTTCAAAAAAAAAGTATTTTTAAAATTACTTACAGATTACCAATAAAATTTAATTTTAAATAAATTACAAAAAATCCATCGATAATTTAATGCAATTAGAGATAATTAATTTTTAATTTTTTTTATTCCATCGGAAGTCTTGTTGAGATAAAAAAAAATCAACTATTCAGTGGTGGATTACCAACGGAAGTCAACGGAAGTTGATTTTTTTAATTTATGCCGGTATTTTTTCGACAGAATTTTTTACCGAATATAGTCAATTTTCTAATAGTAAAATGATTTTTAATACATAGCAAATACACTTCAAATCTCCAAAACATACCACTAAAAAATTGATTCTACATGTAGAGTTAGATTTAAATGAGAACAATATTCAAATAAAAGAACATGAAAACGACCAAATCATGTACAAAATCACATGTGAATTTACACAAACGGTTAACGCAAGGGAGTGTGGACGATGTGGCCCACGACCTCAATGTCGTGGCAAAAGTTGCGTGAATTCACATGTGATTTTATTGTTTTTATTATTTTGTTTGGTTATTGTACACGCACTACAATAAAATTGGCTTTATAGGACGTCACCAATAAATAAGCAGCATAATAGACCACTCTATAAGATATAGTTTATATGATCAAAAAATAAAACATAATATCTAAAGCCGTTGTAATAAGTTTGTAGGATGTTTTTGGGCATCTTAATAAGTTTTTAGAACCTTTTTAATACAAAACATCGCATTAACTACACTTTTGATAAATGTGTCATTTAAATTCATCTTTTTATAGGACACTTGTGTTTATAAGATGTTTTTTTCAAATACTATTCTATAAAATAGTTAATATGATGTTTTTTATAAAAGTGTAACAACAAACTTGTTACGAACGCTAAAACGCGTTCTACAAACTTATTACAACATCTTTATATAAGACATTTTACTTTTTGGTCTTATAAAGTGGTATATTAGAAACCTTATTTACTGATGACGTTTTATAAACTTAATTTTGTTATTGTGAGATATAAACATTACTCTTTCTCTCTCTCTCTCTCTCTCTCTCTCTCTCTCTATATATATATATATATATATATAAGGTTTACTTTGTAAACCATGTTATTTGTACAAACCGGACAAACCTCATTTAACCGATCATAATTTTTCATTTTATTCATTTTTTGTAATTATGAGTGATTGATTAATCATTTTTATTGTGGAAGATGTTAATCATGAATATTATCATCTTCATTATTTTAATTTTTAGTGAAATACATGAAACAGTTTTATTAAACTTTCATTAACTATTATATGAAACAATTTCATAATCATATATGAAATAACTTTATCAAAAAATATTATATAAAATAATTTAATAAAAAAATTCATAAAATTAAACAATAAAATAAACGAATAAGATGATTTATATGATTTATTCAAATAGGATGGTTTGTGATTGGAACTCTTAAGTAGAGATATATGTACTTTGGGACTAACAATAGCATATCTCACTTTTCACCTCATTCAAAATTAATTGAGGGGAGTAGACAAACATCATGTGGTGCATGTAGCTAGCTTGTACTTTATGTCTTCTTTTCATGTCATAACCCTTAATTAATTTAGAGGAGTGTTAATGGCACTTCTTATTAATAGAGGGTGTTGATTGCCTTGACATTTTAAATTGATTTGATTTTAATCAAATGTCAAACTCAACAATAACATATTATATTTTTTTTATTATTGTTTTATAAATAAACATACATATATATACACACACATTGTATATTA